ACTGGCTCATTTGATCGGACTGTCAAGCTATTCGATCTCTCAGTAATGGGATATGTAGAAACGCTATTTGGACACCAAGATAGTATTCTCTGCCTTGATGCGCTCCGAGGAGAGACGGCTGTCACTGCTGGAGCAAGAGATCGAACGATTCGATTCTGGAAAATTGCAGATGAGAGTCAGCTGGTCTTTCGTGGCGGTGGAAAAAGTGCAATACGGGAATTGCTTGAAGGAGGTGTGTTCGAAGGCCACGAAGATGAGGAACATGTGAATGGGGTGGAGGTTGATGGTCCAAAATCAAACAAAGGTAAGGAAAGGATAAAGGAGAGAAAATATGCGGAAGGGAGTATCGAGTGTGTCGCAATGATTGATGAAACTACGTTTGTGAGCGGGGGAGATACTGGGTATGTTGCTCGGCATCCTATGAATTATACCACTGAATACCGCCTGAAGCTCGATATGTCTTTGGAACACCCAAAAGAAAAAACCTGTTTACACACAGACACTGTGCCACGGGTTCCACGAAATACAGTCCTCAACCGAGGGACTTGTACGAACACCCCGCTGGATAACGGCCGTTGCATCACTACGCTATTCCGACATGTTTGTTTCCGGTAAGTCCATTCCTTTTCATTGTCATAAACAGCGACGTTGCTCAGTTCAACTCCAAGGCTCGTGGGATGGTGATGTGCGGTTTTGGAAGCTCGACCAAAAACTCAGATCGTTTTCACTGGTTGGCTCAATACCTGCGCCTGGTGTTGTTAACTCCCTGCAACTTCTCGTCTTACCCAAAGGCGCATTGGATAATGCTTCTTGGAGAGAAAAAGAGCAACTGTCTCCCACCAAGAGTTCAGTTCAACCTGCATTATTAGTTGTGGGATTAGGACAGGAGCATCGATTGGGACGGTGGCTGAGCGTGAAGGGGGAGGGAGTTGCGAATGCGGCAACAGTTCACATCATATATCCTCGGACATAGACGACGCCGAACCTTTAGGGCCTTAATGTTAACATTATCGCCTGTAAAATGAGACCTTAGGTCTTTCTAGTCTACTACATTCCAGACTACGGAGTAGAGAGAATTTTGTGGGATGAGAACAGTTATTAGGCACTTGTATGAAAAAATGCAACGGGGAGAACTCTTTCCACCCAAGAAAGCAAATTTTAGCCAATCTGGCAATACATACAGCGCTCGGGTGTAAGCGAGTCGAGGGCTGGTGCCGGCGCTGTTTGATAAATGCTCAGGGGTTAAAATTAAGCAGCGTCGTGACAGCGTGACAAACCACGCGACGCGACGCGTCCAACTGCTTTACTTGCATGTTGTTCTCGTCGACTGACACGATACATACACAAGTCTCCTGACGCAGACGTCGACATTTCAACGACTTCATCCTTTACATCATGTCAGACAACGAGGCACCACCGCCGACAATCCGCAGTGCCTGTACGCTCGTCTCATTAGCATAGTCCGCTCATTCACTCACAGCATTGAGCCAGACCAGGAGGACATCATAAGGATATTGGTTGCAACAGACAATCACATTGGATATCTTGAACGCGACCCAATTCGTGGTCAGGACTCTATCAACACATTCAAGGAAATTCTTCAGCTTGCTGTCAAGCACGATGTCCGTGTCGTCCCTCATGATTCATCTCTTTTCCTGAAAATGTCTACAGGTCGATATGATTTTACTCGGCGGCGATCTATTTCATGAAAACCGCCCGTCACGCGACTGCTTATACCAGGTTATGGCTCTTCTCCGGGAGTACACATTTGGTGACAAGCCTGTTCAACTTGAGCTTCTTAGCAATCCAGATGACGGGCGAGCAGAGGGATACAGGTGCGTTCGAATTTTCTTGATCTCTTTGAATGAATGATCACGGCCTTCAGCTTCCCAGCGGTTAACTACGAAGACTCAAATCTCAATATTGCCATTCCCGTCTTCAGCATTCACGGTAACCACGATGATCCACAAGGTGCTGGGCCTGTAAGCCGTATTCCTTCCCATAGATTCTTACCACTCAAAACCTAGCCCTCCCTCGTTACCTTTGCGCTTATTCTATCCTTCGCCTCTCACATCTGAGCACTGATTTACATTTAACAGGAAGGTGCTCTCTGTGCGCTCGATGTACTCTCTGTATCCGGGCTCATAAACTACATGGGCAAGTTCGACCTCCCACTATCCAGCGCGTCAAACCCGAACCCTGTAGAAAGTGATTCAGGTATGCTCATGTTCTGCGTGTGCGGTGACTCGACGCTGATGTTTGTTTTCCTCGCCTTCGTTTCTAAGGTATATCTATCCGCCCCGTTCTCCTTCGCAAGGGTCAAACCCGCCTTGGACTGTATGGAGTTGGCAATGTCAAAGATGCACGCATGCACTTTGAACTCCGCAGCAATCGTGTGCGGATGTACATGCCTAGCGACAAGGAAGATTGGTTTAACGTCCTTGTGGTGCACCAAAACCGGTACGCGAATAGTCCCCTGCCCATGCATCCTACCTAGTCCATCATTTCGCACGTCTTTACTCGTTTCCCTGCGCTCTTCCGTTCCTCAAACTAATAATCAATACCATCGGTAGTGTTCCCCACCCTCCAACTCCAGCTGTACCAGAAGGCCTCTTCGACGACTGTATCGACCTCGTTGTCTGGGGCCATGAGCATGACTGCCGTATCGTGCCCGAGCCCGTCGCTGGCCGTCCATACCATATCACGCAGCCCGGGTCGAGTGTAGCTACAAGTTTGGGCGAGGGCGAGGGATTGGAGAAGTGAGTGTCAGCTTTCTAGATTTCTTTTGACTCACCATCTCACCATCACCTTCCGTATCTGATGTGCCTTTGGTTCCCGAACATAACGAATTTTGTGACAAAGACACGTTGCCCTGCTCCAAATCCATAACAAAGAATTTGAACTTAAACCTCTTCCTTTGCGTACCGTACGTCCGTTTATGTTGGGCGACATTTTTCTCGCGGAGGCGGCAGAAGAAGAGGGGTTCGATGTGAGCGACCAAATTGCTGTTGGGAAGTTTTTGAGAGCAAGGGTAGGTCCCTTTTCGTTTTCACTTAGGCTTGGCGTGTAGGTTGCGGACTCACTGCACGATTTAGGTAAACGCTCTCATTGACCAAGCGAACCAGTTATGGGACGAGCGCAATGCGCACGCGGTGGAAGAAGGTGAAGAGGAGCTCCCACGTATGCTGCCGCTTGTACGGCTCAAGGTCCGTTGATCTATCCTTCTACATAGTGTAATACAGAATATGCAGACCGCACCCATACTGATACTACTATTGGTAGGTCGACACCACTAACGTCCCCGCAATGTCCAATCCCATCCGATTCGGACAAGAATTCACTGGGAGAATTGCAAACCCACGCGACGTGCTCTCTTTCCACCGATCCAAAGCCCGCTCCGCTGCCTCCCGTACCGCGACCTCTGCGGACCAGCCCGAACTATCCATTGACGATCCAGACCTTACGACGAGCGAAAAATTGGCGAAAGTTCGCGTGCAAACATTGGTACAAGAGTATTTGGCCGCGCAAGAGCTGCAGGTCCTCGGTGAAGCGGGTATGAATGAGGCAATTAGAATGTTCGTAGAAAAGGATGATGGGTGGGCTATACAGACGTGAGTGTTGTTTTGCGTTTTCGAGATTTTTTTTTATCAGAGGCCTGATGATGTCACGAATGTTCTGATGTCGTCACTCTCTTTGTCCTACTTCGATTCATCGTGCTAATATTGTGAGCTCATGTAGACATGTCTCGAATGCTCTACGCGCGCTCATGAAAGGCGTACAGGAGAATGGAGAGGTAGATGAGGAAGAGCTGGATGAAGTTGTACGTTCTAGGCTTCCTTCTAATTTTTTACTGAATCCAAGCTGTTTTATGTAGCTCGTCAAACTTAAGGAGCAGCACAACCATGAGTACCTAGAAAAAGCAAGGATGGGGAAGACAGCCAAGGGAAAGGTGCGTTCGACGTTGGCCCCACCCACCCCGTGAAACTTGCACCTCATACCATAATGTAGGGCAAAGAAAAAGCCTCCGCCCAAGCAGACTCCGACGCCGACTCAATGCTCATGGAAGTCAATGGCGGGGAAGATGACGGGTCAGATTTTGACGAACCCGTGCCCCCTCCGAAAAAGAAGAAGGCTGCACCCGTGAAAAAGGCTGCACCAGCAAAGAAAGGGAGAGGAAAGAAGGCTGTTGCTGTGAGTTTACAAACTATGATACGGTACACGGAGCGCTGACTGGAATCAACGCAGAGTGAATCTGAGGAAGTCATGGAATTAGATGAAGATGACGATGAGGAGGAAGACGAAGCACCACCAAAAGTTACCAAGAAGACAAATCGTGCTGCAGTATTGAGGTTGGTTCCGGCTATGTTCTGACTCCCTACCATGCATGCTAAAACTGCCCAACTCTAGTCAACCCGCGAAGAAAACTCTTGCGAAGAAGACAGGTACGAAAGGGAAGGCGTCGTTTGGACAGGGCACATTAAGTTTCGCGCCGTCAGGGCGGTCCTCTACACGGGCCGCAGCGACACGGGCAAAGGGCAAAATGGCCAATGTGGTAAGTTACATTGTGGTATTTTTCAGGGTTCACTCGATTGATTCTGTGATTTGTAGGTTGAGCTAGATAGTGATTGATTTTGCGGTTCCACATGTTTTGTGGTCTCAGGGTCTCAGGCTGAATACACTAGGAAAATGGCACTTTTTATCAGATTACCGAATGTGGGCACACAGGTGCAACTGGGGTTATCTACCAGGGACAAGATGAGCGGCCATAAGTTTAAACTGCTGATTACTTCTCGGAATGAAAATTCTACCCAATTCACTCGTGAAAGTACTGGTTTGCCTACTTTGATTCTATGAGGCGCGTAAGGTTTTGCCTTTTCAAAGGCTCCGTTCCCAGTGACTAACAACTCCCACACTGTGATATCCGATTGCCGATAGGCTCACGCCCGGCTACTGTTCATTCGTTTCGTTCAGGCTGAACAACGTGCCCTCTGAAAGTCCCAATGCATGCGACTCTAGACGATCTGCCGCATGAGATCTTACTCCTCATAATTTCATACGCACTCTCCTTTGGATCCGTCCCAAGCAACATCCTGTGCGTCAACCACCAGTTCCACAACGCCGGCGTGGAATGGCTTTATAGGAACTTGTACTTTCGCTCTCCAGAGCAACTAAGGCTTTTTGCACAGATGGGGGAGAATGCGGGGGTGGTGCTGCGCTCAGTGACGGTCGATCTAACAGGCAAGTTTACGAGATCAGACGTCTGGCAGCATCTTCGCGAGGCGTTGTGCAGGTGTCGCGATCGTACTGAGAAACTGGGGCAAAGGCAGAAGCAGATCCCATTGGAGGTTCTTTGTCTGAGACTCCATTCATACTCACGGGATACAAGCCACCATGTGTTCGAAGAGGCACTCTCCGTTGCCAAGTGAGTAAATAATCCCAGAGGTGCATCGCCCTAATACATGTTGCTGCCGAAATTGCATTCTCTAGTCCCCGCGTATTTCGGTGGACCGGACCCGACCCTGATCACCACTTTTCCACCGCAGTGCGTGCATTCTAAAAATGTTGGGTGAAGAAGTCTGACGGGAAGATTCAAGATCGTCGCGCCCATAGCAAGCCGCCTGTGTAGAGTATTCGGCACCTGGTCAAACATTCAGGATATCACAGTCACTAACATAACTTTCTCCGTTGATTCGGACAATTCAGTGGTGCCATTACTCCCAGAGATTCCCGGTCTTCGCACTCTGTACGTAGGTCAGGCAACGTTCCTGAGTGCAGGGTCTGTGGCGGCGGTCTTTTATGTCAATAGAATGGCGAGCCTGGAGAGGGTGAGGCTTGTGGACGCCTACTGTGAGAGTATTTGGGGCTCTAGAATTCGAAGGTCGGATATCGAGAAAGCAGTTCAAATCATGATGTTTCCCCAGGATGTGGCACAGTACGAAGGTGTACTTTCACGCATTCGGAAGATACTTACATGCGAGAGGAAGACGGAGCGTATCACTGGAGGGGACCGGGTAGAGGGTAGTGTCTTTCTGGTTTGAGCTGTAGAGGTGGAAATAGAAATATACAGAAGATGGCGGTAGCACATTACAGTACACATTGCCAGAGGGGACATTATATCTCAACTTCTCGAATACCGTCTTTGTCAACTACTTTGACCTTGTATTTGCCTGGATTAACCACCAGACGCTTCGCCACTTCATCGATGCAACGTTTCAGATTAGCAAGACCCTCTTCCAGGGATGCTTCTGGATCATGGTAACTAAATAAGAGTGGTCAGCACACCGTTTTATCAAGTAATAAGAAGGAACTGGGGAACCGAGATAAAGCATCACAATCACAATAAGGACCAACAACGTACCGGTCAAGCAAACTCAGGGCGAAGTAACTACCATATCCATGCGCAGCAAATGGTACTTCCACCACTGTCCCCAAGTAATCAATCCAATACAAGTTCGGTGTGTGCGAGGACGTGTCATATCCGCCAAGCAGCAAGTTCACTGAGTACGGGTTTCGTGATCTGAGAGATTCTGCTAATGAACGGCGGATCCAGGATGCGGCCGCAGCTGGGCGAAGAGGATACAAATTACGAATTTGGTACAGACGAATATTGCGCTCGACAAATTCGGCGAACTGGACGGTATCACCTGTGTCAAGTTTGCATTTTCAAAAACATTGAAATGGTCATATCAGGTTTGTGCTGACCTGGTTCACCCGAGTACGCCATGAGAAGATGAGGACTGAGCTCCTTGATTTTGTCTTGGTCGATCTGCATCTTGACAATGGATCGGGCTGCAGTAGTGTCAGCAGCTACGATCACGTAGCCCTTGCCAGTTAATGCAAACGACGTTTCCATGTTGTACTTGTGGTGGTTTGAATTAGGCTTCAATGAGGACGCGTACTTGGAGGACACGACGCGCGTCACCTCCAATTTTTGCCCAATTTGTTAGCCAACTACCTTAGCATTGAAAATGCCAGAAATAATGGTTGCCTTAACGGGTTATCTAATACCTAGCACTGGCCCTAGAGGAGACTACTAGTTAACCTGTGTCACCTTTTTGTCTAACTGCAAGCGGGCATGCAAGCCCTCCAGATCCCTGAAAATTCTTGCGCTCGACCGGTTCACCGTTTCTTTACATCTTCGCATGAGGCTATCCGAGTACGTGTCCGAGTCGAAAAGACGGCGAGTCTTACAGAACCTCACACTTGGTCCCCGCGAACTTCCATCCACCCCTGTTTATGAGGTATGCCACCCTTTTTTCCCCCTCAAAACCGATGCGACGCTGCAATATGCCGGCCGCGTGTCTCGGTATGAGCCATACCGCTGTATCTTTTTTGCCTTCAATAAGTCATCCACTTTTGGCAAAAAAAAAATTGCGCGAAATGCGACGTCGCATTGATCATTATTCATTGTAAGCAGCGTCAACTATTTGTTAGTCATTCCAGGTCACTCTGTGCTCACTCCCCTTGCATGAGCAAGCGAAGCAGGACCCATATTCTGAATGTCCCTGCAGTTCCCCGCGGTCAGTCACCGAGGGGCCCGGGGACATCTCTGGACACCTTCATCACGGTCAGTCTATTTTCATCTGTTCCCCTCTGTTTCCCTTCGTACATCTGAGCTCATCTCCGGCCCTGTGAAATGGGATTAATGGCACTTCGTTTGACTGTAACCAAAGCTTTCCCGCAAGACGGGGAGTCAGTACTCCGTCGTGAGATATTGTTCAAGCTGTATGTGCTGTGTAGTAAGCTGTACAATATGCGAGTTCGATTAACGCGCAATGTTGCGGCTTTCCTGGTTCACTCATCATTTTGAAGATGAATTTCGACCCCGACGTCGCCTCCACATGTGTAAGTGGCGCCCGTGACCCACGTGTCAAACAGACTGAGATCATTCAGTTATCTCTTGGCTGATGACTGACAACAGCACCAGTTAAACCTTGACAAAAAATTGCGTCTTCAATGTCAATCAATATTACTTATGAATAATGCCTGCAAAGGTGCTGCGGTAGATTAGGTTATCTATTATACTCCTGCCAAAGTTGAGACCAATTGATCCTAAATGGAGAACATCTCCATCAGAATCACAATGCAAGATCAACGGACTTTTCCAAACTGAAATATTAAACCTAAAGCTTGAGGGTCTGTTGTTTTCTGTGCATAGCTTATCTGGAAGTCGTGTCATATTACGGATTCACTATCTACCAGTTGTTTACTACCTTACGTTTTGGTACTAACGTCGCTTCGAAACGTTATGTCCTGGTACTCACTGATCGTTGATACTATACAGTCTGCACTTTGTATTCCAGGTAGCCAATCGTGTACTGCAGTGACCACGTCAAAAGACCAGGCCAGTGGCAACCGAAGAGAGTCGGAGTCGGAGGATACCCCTGCCATTTGGAATGAAAGGAATTCGAAGCTGTAAACTGGGGGATGTTGACGTGACGATGACTGACCATAGAATACCGGGCTCCCTCAAAGAAGCCTGGGGTCCCTAGGGTCTCCTGCCAGTGAGGATCTCGACCATCATTGAACCTGCATTATCTGGAGTACCCGTTTAGTACCCTGACTCCTGTAGTTGGTCTACATCTATCGATGCTGCGGATCTTGAGGACAGCCTTGGTGAATTGGTCCGAAAAAAATGTCCAGGAGTCAAGCAAGTGATTCACACGTTCTTTCTTTCAACTGTTTTCCGCCGGGTCTCACAGTCTTCGTCACCTCAACGTGGCCGCATCTTCAACTTGGGAATTCGCTATGTGGATCCCCCGGAATTAGGAAGTTGAAGACGAACATGTACACAGCTGCCAACTATTTCGATAATTTTCCAAAAGTTCTCGTGACGGTGTCTTGCAAATTGCTGTTTTTTGCTGTAAACTGAGCTGAGACTCTGGACCATCAATGAAATCTGGAGGGTACCCTATCCATCAGTACGTACATCTAATTTCGCCAATGGCTTGACCCAGTGATGGTGGCCTAACTCTCGGATTCACAGGAAATTCACTGCATCCCTGGCCGGTTGCACTCCAATTCAGACTCACGTGGATTACGAGATCTTCCACACTTAGCGTGTTACTCAACCTGGTACGGAGATCTGAGAACTGCCAACAACCAGTTCAAAGCCGCATCAAGAAGTTTGCTCAAAACATGCCTAGATCTCATTACGCCAGCAAAACTAATTTAAATATAGCCGAGCGAAAGTCTTGATGTGGGTCAAGCCATTCGATAAATATCGGGTCCTCGTTTGCCAAGGTGTGCCAATCCGTTCAACTAACCGCGTCTCTGTTAAGTCGAATCATGTCTTCTAGGCCATCTCCCGTTTACGCCAGTCCCTCTCCTACTTATGAGTCATATACCCCTTCCTCTTCTTCATCCTCTTCCATCTACGGCGGCACATCCTCATACCCACCACGCAAGGTATGGGTAGACCCTAAGGGCTTGGCCAACTGTGGGGATGCATCTCAGATACAGGGAAATGTATCCCCCTACGTTAAGCAACTCACCCTCAACACGTTCATTGCATACGGGGCTGGTGACGAGCACTGTTTTGGTCATTCCGTTGCCAAGGCAGTGAAGTTCACCGACATCAATGCCCACGAAAGCCACGAAAAACAAGGTCGTATGGAAGCAACGACTACTGCAGAAGTTATTATTTCAAAAAGTACGTTAACGTGCACGAGGCACATTTAGGGAGTACTCACAGGTTGCTTAGGCATGTTGAATGGCGCGGGAATGCTCCATGGAGGTTGTCTGGCGTTTTTGATTGACAAGTCAGTACGAAGTGATTTGACGCTTTTTGGCATGTTCTGACAGACTACCATAGCTGCTGTAGCACTCCATTGGTCGCTCTGGGACTCCTACAAAACATGAATGGAGTGGGAGTCACTCAGTCGATGAACATCATCTTCCACTCCCCTGGATCAGTGTACGTTGGTGTGACCAATTCTCATCGGTACCCACTCATTCTTATCACTAGTGGGTCGTGTTTGCGTATCATCAGCACTTCAATCGCTATGGGCGGCCGCATTATGAGCGCTCGATGCGAGGTTTGTTTTTTTGGTCAATTAATTGACGATTGATTAATGAGTTTCTCCACTTAGGTCATTAACAAAAAAACAGGCAGTGTAGTTGCTTCAGCATATCTCAACAAAATGCAACCCGCCATTTCAAAACTCTGATGGTTTTATCTCTTTTCTGTTATCGAGTCCTGACAGACACTGTATCGAAAGCAATCTCTCCTCGCATGTACAAAACTAAGTATAATCAATAGGCTTGTATGATCACAGATACTGTATTCATTGGGGTTTTATGGTGGTACATACTTAGACACGACAAGTTTTTAACAATCTAGATGTGTTGTTTCTAACTAGAATGATGATATATCTGCATTTTATGGCTCGAGATAATTTTTAAAAGGTCACAGTTGTCCTTCGCTGTCGCAGCGCAAACTGCTTTAAGATCGGCCGAAGGACCGAAGGTGCATTCATGAATTTAGGAAGGAGAAATCAGTAGAGACTCAGCCTGCACCGTTAATTACGCGAGCATCCCTGAATAGCTAGCCAACCCTCACAGGAGTATCCCGATTGAATACCATTCTTGCGGTGAGCGGCTTCCTGACATGGGCCGATCAGAAGCCCCGAAGGAATGTTAGCGGGTATCTCCGCAACCAAGCCAGGGGACGATGTTGTGGGTGATTCGCGGAGTTTTGTATTATCCTATGATAGCCGTATTGAAGCTCTTGAAACTTCAAGACCCGCCTAGGTTGGCTGGGTCGTGGATATAGGTAGCATCAATCCAGTCCTTCCAATGTCATGTCGCCTTCCATCGGTGGGAACGTTAAGCTTTCTGCTGCGAACATTAGTATAAGATTAGATACTGAAATTGCAGACCGTCGTGCATATTTATATCTCTTCGCTCATCGTGCGATAGTTTCTGGGTAGGGAAGACGAAGACGAAGGACTTTACAGATTATCCTGATCCAGTGATAAGATCTGTGACCGTCGAAGTGGCTCAAGCCGTATTCTTATCGCCGTCGAAGCAACCGATG